ATATAAAAATATTCAAGACAAGATATTTCTTGAGTCATGAATGAATTAGAGTAATACTACTTTTCCCAATGAAATCTGATTCAAAGTACCCTCGTGGTGCCCAGCAAAATAAAGAAGCAGTTAATTTCCAGTTTAAAGTATGAGCATGCAGAAAGGGAAAATACTGACATAGAAGTGGGCAACCAAGATAAATTTCTAAGAAAATGTTGAGAACCTAGAATTAGTTTACACACTGCATAAAAGACAGCCATAGATAGAAAAAAATGATAGAGATAAAACAATGACAATTGAATTGACAGACACAAACAGCCCGTTGATACTCCCCAGCATCAAGCACAATCACGTTAAAATTGACACAAACAAGCTACAACACAACAAAGTATTTTTCAATAAATTGCTAACTTTACAGTGGCATGTGTATTATTTGAAATTTTAAGACTTCAAAATTATGGTCAGAAATTTATAATCTAAAGTAGGTGACTATAGAAGCATTTCACATCTGTCCCTGATTGAGACTTTACAAAAATGTTTAGGAAAAAAGGCCGTTGGTCAAACCAGTTAGACCTAACATTTCTTAGACCACCAGTTTCAACAAAAAATAATTTATCTCATTAAACTCTTTCGCTTGAGAATGAGGACTTCATCATGTTTCTGATTCTCACCTAGAAGTTATCCCAGACTTAACACGGTAAGAACCAGAATGAAATCAGAAACTCCTGCTTACATTATCACAAAGCTATCACTCTCTCTATTCCTTGAAAGATGACTCCTTGCATTTCTTGCTTGCTTTGAAGCAGTCTCACAAACTTTAGCCTTACCTGAAGCCCCAAAAATTTGGGGGGGGGGGGGACGACAGGACAAAAACACCATCTTAGTGAATGCAACTCTGGGCCATGCAATTTTGGAGTATAAGGGAAAATGGACCATGCATCTTACTCATAATCTTGCTAGAGTCTGTAGCTTTTTCCTACATGGAAAAGAGGAAATTTAGTGGGGAAAAAAAATAAAGGACAACTACCAAGATAACATAATGAGAAAAACGAGTAGCAGTATCTTTTTTCTTTTCTTTTTTTAGAAAGTGAAATAAAAATGTTCAAAGTTGCATCACTTGCAAGGACTGGGTTCACCTTCTTCGATACCGGTAAAGAATTCCTTCAAGATGAAAATAGAAAATAGATCATGCATCAGTGAGAGATACTATAAACATTGTTTTAATCAATTTCAACGTTGTTTAAAGTCACAAACCTTGTGGCTGGAAGTAGATTCCTGGTTTTCCTGAAGAATTAAGAAAACATAATGCAATAATAATAACCAAAAATTTTGATCAGATAATTATAAAACAGTAGTCATAGCAGATTGCCTCCTGCACTCCAAACAGAATTTGAAACTCTAGTTAACAGTGTACCTGCTGGTAGTAACAACAGATTTACGATTTAAATTCTGGGTTGTAACACTTTTGACACTCAAGGAAGTCTTCAGATCTCTAGTACTCTGTTCTCAAAAAGCAAAACTTGCTTATATATTGTTTTACCAGTGAAAGTTACCAGAAATTTATAAATAATAGAAGGCTACCTGTCTTTGAAGTATAATCACCAATAGCACCTCGATTTAGATGGTCCCCCTCTTTTCCCTATTTTAAAAGATATTATGAAATATATCAATTCCTTTGTAACTCCAAAAATAAGGCAAACAAAAGGTGATGACATCAAGAGACTAAAATGAAGGATTAGTGAAAACCTAGGAATACCAAAAATGTTGCCTCGTGCTTGTAGTGGATAATCAAATGAATATGTCTAAACTACCACATAAATTTTCTTTCACTAATTTAGTCTGGATTATATCAAGTGGAATAAGATGTCATAAATATGAAATAAAACACTCAAATAACTTTAGAAGTTTGACATTCTTAAACCTCATCCAAGAACAATTTTTTAACACAACAATAAAGATAAATGTTACAGCATATCACTTTTTATTGGTTATACTTTCCCATTAACAATTAGTCACGATTGATTGTTCATTACAATTAGAGATCTCTTCTACCTCATGAATATGGTCTGGATTATCAAGTGGAAGTAAGATGCCATAAATGCAAAATAAAACAATCAAATAACTTAATTAGATTTAGCATTTTGAAAGTCCTAAACTTCATGCAAGATCTTATCAAACCCAACAGCAAAGATAAATGTTACATCATATCACTTTTCATTGCTTATACTTTCTTGTCAACAATTTCTCATGATTTATTGTTCATTACAATCAGAGATCTCTTCTACACTTTGAGTGATTTAGTAACCTACTTCCTTGGCTTGGGGTGATAATTATGATATCAACAGTACACATGCCATTAAGACTAGCAATTACAATAGTTCCAGAACTGGTTTACACAAATTTTAGTTATTAGTTTTCACACTTAAATGACTTCATAAATGGGAAAAAAGTAAAAAGAGATTTGAACTTTTAATTTAGCCCTCGTACCTTGAAAGATCTCCCGGATGAGACATTAACAGTTTTAGCAGCCGAAGCCACTGAAACCCTGCAAATAAATTACTTCACATAGGTAAACTATAGTCTAATAAACAGTAAGCAAACTAACGTACAATTATCCATATAGAGCTATATCATCTTCAATTGAATTTTACAAATTTTGATCATATTCATTTTGGATAAATGGAACTTTTTTCCTCATTCAATAACAATGCAGACATCAGAGTGTAGGAAAGGGGAAGCAAATGTATGTCATTAAAATGCATTAAACCCTTCATAGAGGGAAAAAAAATCACACACAACACACACTGCAGCCAAAAGGTATACTAGTTGAGAAAAGTAGAAACCTATCCGTATACCATTGAAAAAAAAGGGAAAGACAGTGAAACAAATTTCCATAAATTTATTCATTAAAGAACCCCAAATCAATGGACTAAATGAATGAGGGTTCATACCGCTCCATCAAAGCACCTCTCTGATTCTTCCTGCGTTACAAAACGAGTAAAGTCAATTGCAGGAAGAGATAGCAATTCAAAAGTATTATTAAAAGAAAAAGTCACTCACGTTGATTTAGAGCCATCATAAACTTTCGTGGAAGAAGCGAAAGAAGTAAGATTGCTAAGATCTGACAGCGCTTTTCTTTGAACAACTTTATTTTCTGAAAAATGGACATGCAAAGAGCTGTAAACAAAGTTCCCATGGCATAGGATTGAGATAATGATTATGAAAATTTTGTTGCAGTTGCAGATGAAGCTTACCAGAACTATCGCGTTTGCCTTTAATCTTGGTCATATTCTTCAAATACCCCTTCAAATTACTTTTGGAAGTTAAACATGAAAACAAATAAAAGCAAGCGCTCTAAATATTACATTCTTTATTAAGGAAAAACAATAAAAATGGTAGAAACCTTTGAATCATTTGCAGTAGTTAGAACGGCTTCTTTGCTACCCACAATTGATTTCGTCCTGGAAAAAAAATTAGAACAACCAACTATTCTTTATTTAAAAAGAAAACAATCAGATATGTCGTAATTAAGCAAAAGCAAAACTTACATGGTAGATGCTTCATTTTTGGTCTTTTCATTTTGGGAATAAATTTTGAGCCCTTTGTACACAAATAAGAACAGAAAACAATGATTTCAAAATTTAAAAAAATAAAATTACCGAATAGAAAGAAAAAAAGAATAAATAGGGTTACCACGACTGAAGCCACGTTGATCTCCAAGTTTTGCCTGAAAATGAGAGAATATGGTGATGAAAAAAGGAACCCTAACTCAAATTTTGGAAAAGAAATTGAGAAAGAAGAGAGATTTCATTAGTAAATGACACAGTAGTAGTTAGCATTGTTGATTAAAACGAAGATTAAGAGATTTAAAAAAATACCTTGAGCTTGAGAGATGTCATCTTGATGGATCTTTCTTGATTAATTTCTAATTTCTCCCCTTCAAAGAAAAATAGCTTGAGTGATATAAGAGACGAGTTTTGAGAGAGAAAAGTGAACCGTTAGCTTATGTTGAATAGCCCGCCTCTCTTCTTTCTACTATAGCTTTTCAAAGTTGTTTCAAATGTGAAGATTATTTCTGTAGTGCTTGATCGAGCGGGCCGGGCTCAAGTTCAAATGATTTTTTCTTCTTTTGGGCTTTATTTACTATTTTTAAGGGTAATTTGGTCATTCAAATTTTACTTTTGTTTTTTATCATTCAATCTTTTAAATTTTTTTTATCACTCAATTTTCAAAAGAGAAAAATTGTAAGCCAACCATTGGTTATGTAACGATAATACCAAAACATTGTATTTTGAGTAGTTTTATTTATTAATTAATCTAATATTTTACCCTTATTATGTATGATCGACATCTTTATAATTATCGTTTGTTGCTAGCCATCATTTATGACGTAACTAATTCTAAAATATTTTTTTCTCATTTTTAGTTTGATTTTTCTCGAAATCAATAAAAATCAAAATAAAACATTGATCTTATCTTGGTCTGATTTATAATCTCCATATGATAATCATAGAAATAAAAAATATATACTTTCTCTTCTTCCTTTACTTCTCCACCATTATAATTTGAAAGGAAAATAACTCCTACACCACTAAAATAGAGATAGACCCACAAAGTAAGTGAGGATAGTTGTCACTTGAAAATTTAAAATTTTCATATATTTTAAATATTTTTTTATGTTTTTTCTATTGAAAATCTATTTTTGTCTCCCAATAAAATTTATAAGTTTGTCCATTCCTAAAATTTTAAAAGTTTACCCCCTAATATAAAATTTAAAATTATTTTATGTATAATTAATTAATTTAAAATATAAAAATTAAGAATTTTTGAAGACCATGTACCGAATTGATCAATGTAATTTAACATTTTAAAAATCCTTTTTAATAATATATATAAGAAAAAAGTATTTAAAACTTCAATAATTATTATGTGTATGCAAGCGAATAATACTCTTATTCACATTATGTTAATAAATTTACTTATAAATCATGATATTTTTAAAAAAGAAATAATACTAGGGGGTATTTAAGTCAATACACACAACAGAAGAAAACTTGCGGTAACAACTCACAAGCTCCTCCGCAGACAAATAGAGTATGAAAGTCTGAGCATTGAATGCTCCATGCAATTGGGGCTAATTTCCCAGATAACAATGGCGCATTCTCAGTGTCCATCCTGTTTCTAGCTAAACATACTTGGACTGAAATCAATCACCTGAAAATCCGAAACGAAGAGATCGAAACTTTGAACATCAGCAGTGCATAATTAGAGAATAGCAGCAACAATCCTAATACGACTAAGCATTCTTAGGAATATCACATTAATAATGTGTGTAAAATTGAAGTGAACCAAAGAGTAAAAGAAGAAAATGATTTCACTTTCCAAATTTGAGTGTTTCTGGCTGTGGGAGTAAGGTGATAAGTGACTGAACAGATAAGACCAAAAGAAGAATGATGAAATCACCGGCGGGTGCCATAGATTGGCCATACCAAGTGAAGTGAAGCAGGAAAGAGACAGACTCGAGAACAAGAAAAAACCAAAACAGAAAACAAAAAAGAGGGAGAGCCTTCTGATCTTGGTTAAAAATAGGAGATTGTACTTCTGATTCCCTTTGTGTGCACAAGGAACTTCTAAATTATGAGTAAACACCGAGCATACCCGGTTTCTATTGCTTTTAACTTCTTTTTTTGGTCAAAAAAATGCAGGGAATTGTGCAAAATAAGAAGCTCCTTACATGCCTAAATAAGATAGAGAGCAAGGAAGAACAGTGTTTATTCTTCTTCATTTCTGTTTAATTGTGATTATTAAGTTAGCGATTGAACGAAAATTATAATGCACAATTAGTCGCGCCAAAATGGGATGTCAAGTACTTGTGTACTAAAATGGAACATAGGTCGAGTCTTCATCTTTGATTTTAGCAAAACGATACTATAAAACAACACTAATAATGCTATGAATGGAAAAAAATAATTACCTGCTTACCCACTTGGACAACTCTTGAAAACTTGCTAATCCGAATATGGTGTGAGATCAATGTCGAAGCGTTGCTTCCCTTTGCTAACCCTCTGGAAAACATCAATTGAAGAAATGATAAATATCACCATTTATACTTAATTTCATTGTTACAGATTTATAGACCAAATATTAGGGTTAATATATATTGTATTTAATGTATTATATTATGTAGTTAATGTAGGATATTACTTTACATATTATAGTACCTTTATATTTGTAGATATAACCATAAAGTTGGTGAATAAAAATACATGAAAGTATTCTCTTCTTAATATTTTAGAAGATATCAGAGCCCTAAATTAAATTTTAAGAATCTTTTTCCTTGTTCATCAAAAAAAAAATTCCTGGCCTGTTTGGGGTGAGGGGTAATGCCAAAATTCAAAAGGGAAGTTTTTTGAGCCTCATTGTTCGACACCGCCAACACTGAGAGGTCCGCCGTGTGCCAATCAGCCAGACCGCAGAACCCGGTCGTCAGATTCCCAGCGTGTGAGCCACACGTGCCGCCACAAGTTCTCGCCACTCCTTCAGGCACCAACACGTGAGAGCGCGTGGGATGGTATTCCGGTGTTGTTTTCTTCCGCCTATGTCGCTTTCTTGAGTTCAACCACACCTCTGTCGTCGGTTCATGCTTTCGGTTTAGTCTCAGTTTGGGGACTGGTTTAGTATTATTTGGCTGCCTGATTTCGGTTGTTCTAGCCTAGTTCGATACTTATTTAGCCATCGGATCTTTGTTGCTATTATTTTTTGTATGTCTGACAACTCTGCAGAGTGATGAACCAAATTGATTCAACTATAAGAAACAATGAAACATCCATCCGGTCCTATTTCTGCTCTTACTGAGTCAAGTAACCCTAAAATGTCTCGTTTCTGCCTCTTCAAAATAGGTCATTGATTCTGGTGCTACAGATCATATGACAGGTAATCCCAGTTTACTTTCTGATTTTCATCACCATATGTCTATCACCCTGTAACTTTAGCCAAATGGTCAACAGCAAAAGTTATTGGGTCTGGAACCGCTAATCTTACTCCACCCCTTTATTTATCATCGATTCTTAGTCTGCCGCAACTATGGGAAAGTCAACAATGGGACTGTAATCCCAGTTTACTTTCTGATTTTCATCACCATAAGTCTATCACCCTGAAACTTTAGCCAAATGGTCAACAGAAAAAGTTATTGGGTCTGGAACCGCTAATCTTACTCCATCTCTTTATTTATCATCGATTCTTAGTCTACCGCAACTATGGGAAAGTCAACAATGGGACTGTAATCCCAGTTTACTTTCTGATTTTCATCACCATAAGTCTATCAGCCTGTAACTTTAGCCAATGGGTCAAAAGCCAAAGTTATTGGGTCTGGAACCGCTAATCTTACTCCATCCCTTTATTTATCATCGATTCTTAGTAGACCGCAACTATGGGAAAGTCAACAATGGGACTGTAAAACTAAATTATGTTCCTACTGAACTACAACTTGATGATATTCTCATCAAAGCTCTTCCAAGAACTAACTTTGATGGATTCATATCCAAGATGGGATTATATAATATATACTCTCTAGCTTTGAGGCGGAGTGTAGAAGTGTATTTTACTTTGTATTAAATTTGTATTTTATGATTAGGTTTATCTACTAAGGAGATAAGATAGATATTTATTAAGATAAGAGTTTAGATAAGAAGTAACCTAGTAGGACTCTTATGTTGTAACACAGCCTATTTTAAACAGGTCGTTTTCTTCCTTGTACTCGAATGAAGAAGAAAAAAAATCAAATTGCTCAAGAGAAAAATTTACTATGCAAATGTTGGGAACACTATGACATAACCATTCACATCAATGATAGGAAAAGAACTTACAGCTATTGCAATTAGCTCTTCCAGCAGTTCCTCCAAATGGCGCAGTGGCTATCTCACATAACAAGCAAAACATATTCTAATAAGATTTCAGCTTGATAATAAGGTCTGATAATATAACTTCCCTGTGTGGATTGTCCTAAAGACACCATCTTCTAGTATTTGAGCAAGTGCAAATTATAAATTTAACTCACCCATTGAGTTGGACCATCAACCGGTGCATTCAAAGGATTATCATGTACCTATATATCAAAGAGAAACTTTTAGATGCCAGAACAAAAATCAATCTCCATGAAACTATATGAGAAGGTATTTTTTGCACACATGATATTTTAAGCATCAAAGTAAACTGTAAAAGACAAGGCCTGTTAATTGTAATTCGAGTAAAAGCCAACCCAAAACTCCAGCTATAACCTCTCAATTACTTTATATTACAGCTTTGCACAAGGCAGTCAAGGAAAACATACCTCCATGAAAATTCCATCCACTCCAACAGCAACTGCGGTCCTTGCAATGCATGGTACGAGTTCACGGAGGCCTCCACTGGCTACACCTCCTCCATCCAACTATATAAGAAAGCAAAAATGTAACCATGGTAAAAAAATGAAACTCAGAAGCCATATGAATCGATAAACTAAAAGGGAGACAAATGAGGATCAAAAAACTTATATCATAAAGAACACCAACTATTGCAAGCAAACATATTTAGCATAACCCAAGACAAAGAAAGGTTACCAGAGAATATCAATTCTCAGCCTAATATGTTAAAAGTATTTCTTTTTGGTGCTTTGGCCACACAATATTTAATGACAGAATTGCAACACAAAAATGCAAAATATATAGGAAGATTAATGTAATTTTTGGAGCTTTCTCCACTCACAATTAAATGGGTTTGAAACTGACCTTCCTTTTGGTCAAGTAAAAGGACAAAAGAATAATAACCATAAGGGAAACGGCAGGTAAGGAAGCTTATCATCAATATTATCCATTTCACAATGAAATTAATTGATCCTATGAAATATGTTAGACCCTGACAGCTCCAGGTGTATCAACATTCAAAAGTGAGTGGTTCCAACTATAATGGACCCCCCCACCAGAAAATAAAGATTAAATGAATATGAAACAAGAAGATTTATTATCAAAACCCATTTTGGTTAAAATTATATTTCCCTTACCGTATCCCGTGATGATTATCCTCACGGTAAAAGCTAACAAGAAAAATAACAATGGTCAAATGTCCTAATTCAAAATCGGTAAGACATTCTGTCGAATTTCTTGAAAAAACCTGATTGAAGAACATTTACAACATCAAAATATAAGTAAACAAGTAACATCATCCATAGCCATACGAACAGAACACTCTAGTGCATTCTAGTTTTGGAAACAAAAAGGCATATGCAAAATTATCCCAACCTTTCTTCCAGCTGGCTGCTGCAATGAATGTGTGATATCTGCAACCTGGAGTGAAATATATGAATCAGACTATGAAATCCAACAATTAAAAACATGAAAAAGGAACAAATTTGTTCAAGTTATACACAGGAAGGTTAAGTCATGCTGCAGATAACTACTTCACATTTGCAAGATATCTTCAATACTAAAATAGGAAGTGACATGCTGCAAATAAATGCATATGTGTGTGTGTATCATAGTTATCTGGTATATTTAGCAAATATTTTTCCCTGTATGGCAGTATCTTGGAAGACACAAAACAAAAGCTGAAGCAAGCACCATAGACTATAGTTAACCCGGCCTGCCCCTGAGAATCTGAATGCATGATTTATATATTTTCAGGGAGGAAAGAAACAAGAATTGCATAACATAAACTATATGCTTACAACAGGACAATTTGCTTCCCTCATCCACTCCAAATTACGTGGATCAACAATCAAATCATCTGTAAATCAAAAGAAATGCAGTAAGATCAATCAAAAAGGGTAAGCAAGAATAACAAAGCATAAAAAAGTTCGATTTGAATATTCAGTAAAGGTGATGTTATGCTTGAATTAAAGTAGAATTTTGATACACTGAAAGAAGGGTTGATTAATGATATTAGAACACAAAAGAAGGGGGAAACTAAATAAATATTTTAAGCATTAACGTTGAAAAGTGGATGAGCATGAAGAAATATAAATCCATGAGTTCCCATACATTAGAAGTTCCAAAACTTAACATGCTGGAGACAAGGCAGGGGAGATTGCACCTTTCCCATAATGTTCCCCAAATCATGTTCCTTAATAATATTACGGGTTAGCCCCAGAATCAATGTGGTACTTCCACATTTTTTTTCAAGTTACAATTACAAATACAATCAACACATTCATATAACTATGATTAGAATTAAGAATTACGAAGCACAAAAGGATGGACTGACTACCGGAATATATCCAAACCTAAACCAAAATAATTGTAGACAAGACCTACACAATGTGGTACTTCTACTTTTAAAAGGTTCAATATTGTGTCTATACTATTAATCTTTTATCATTATGGTACCCAGCTTTAACACCATTAAATATTAGTTAGCATATGGCCTTAGACCTATCATGTGTTAAGATGTAGCAACACCTGATTTATTTAGTAATTAACATAGGATTTGCTTTTTAAAATTTAACATTTTTGCACGATTGGTTCCCACAATACAACATAATTTCTCTTGGACCCCAAAGGCAAGCCTAGGTATTCCGTTGGAAAGTTACCCATTGAGCAGCCAATTTCCTTAGACCAATCGGCTAGCACATCCTCCTCAACATTGATGCCAAAAATTCTGCTCTTGACAAGATTAATCTTCAATCCCACCAATAACTCATATATCAAAAGCAACCTTCTGACATTCTTCAAATCCCGAATTGAAGCTTTTGAAAAAATAATAAGGTCATCCGCAAATTGTAGATGCGATAGCTTGAAGGAACGATCTGAACTCCTAACTCAAAACCCGAAAACAGCCCCATATCCACTGCTTTAGTTAGCAACAAATGTAACAATTCCCCACCCAAATTAAACAGCAAAGGGGATAATGAATAGCCCTGTCTAAGACCTCTTTCCATATGAATTCTCTCCGTAGGAGTCCCATTCACAAGAACCGAAATAGAAGCAGTTGACATACACTGATACATCCAAGAACGCCATTTTTCTCCGAACCCCATTTTACCCATTATTTTCAACAACCCCGACCAATCAACTGAGTCGTATGCTCTCTTAAAATCCACCTTGAAGACCACCCCCTTCAATCCTTTCTTCTTCCAAAAATCAATTCCTTCATTTGCTATAAAAGAACAGTCCAGTATGCTCCTCCCTTGAATAAATGCAAATTGAGATGGACTAACTATTTCATTAATGCACAAACTGAACCTTCTAGCTAAGACCTTTGATAAAATTTTATATAGCCCTCCCCCAAGGCTAATTGGCCTAAAATCCCCCATCCCCAATCGTGCAAAAATTTCATAATAAATTGACTGGCTGGAAGGCAAACTCTCTAGCGTTAGCAGGAAGGGTGGTGCTGGTCAAAGCTGTGCTATGCTCTCTCCCTACTTATTTCCTTTCATTATTTCGAATTCCAGTTACGGTGTTGCAGAAATTAAACTCGATCATGGCTGTTTTTTTATGGGGGGGTTCGGCTGATAAAAGAAACATACATTGGGTGAATTGGGAAGTGGTCAGTAAGCCGAGAAAGTTGGGGGGTCTAGAGATCCCGAACTTAGCAATTTTGAACAGAGCATTGTTGGGTAAATGGGTATGGAAGTTTGCCTCTGAAAAGGATTCTTGGTGGAAGAGGGTGGTTTGTCATGTGAACAACTTGGACCCGAGTTGCAAAATGTTGGAGAATACTTGGACGGCTCGTGCCTCTTGGATTTGGAGAGGTGTAATTAATAACTTCTTTTCTAATGATGGGTTTGGGGATTGTATTAGGAATAATTTGCGGTTGAAAGCTAGTAACGGTCACTCTGTGACTTTTTGGAATGATGTTTGGTTGGGAGAAGTCCCTCTTAAAGATTTGTTCCCTAGGCTGTATGCTCTGTCGATTAATAAAATGGGTAAAGTGGTGGAGTTTAGGGCGAATAATGTTGCAAGCTGGGTGTGGGATATTCAAATGAGAAGGAATCTGGTGGACTGGGAGATTGAGCAATGGTTACACCTGATTTCTATTTTGAATAACATCTCATTGTCTCATGAGGAGGAGGACTGCTGGATTTGGTTAGGGAATGGAGAGGGTTGCTTCTCTACTAATTCTTGTATTAAGTGTTTCCTTGAGTCAGTCAATATTGAGAGGAATCGGGATTTTTGGGATAGAAATATTTGGGTGGGGATAGCACCTCCCCGGGTTGAAACCTTCGTATGGCAAGTTGTTCATCAGAGAGTGGCGATTAAGGAGGAATTGTTGAAGTGTGGAGTGGTCGGGATTGAAGATCCCTTATGTTCGTTGTGTGGCAGTTTTAGGGAAACAGTTTCACATCTTTTCCTGCAGTGTGAGGTAACTTGGGGATTGTGGGCCAGATTTTCAAATTTGTGGAACGTTTCTTGGAGTATTCCAAATAACATATTAGAATGTATTATTCAATGGGATGATCTACTTCCGAATTCTTGTATTTGGAAATTCATTCCAAGGGCCGTATTGTGGACGATATGGAAAAGCAGGAATGAGGTTATTTTTAAGAAGGAAAAGTTGGATGTGGTGATGTTGTTCTTTATTGCTCGCTTTAGAATTATGTCTTGGTTTGCTGGTAGTTTTGACACGCAGATCCTTTTTGACTCATTAGTGGGTGATCTTACTCTTGCTGATTCGGTTGATAGACAGAAGAAAGGAAGATCCCAACCTTCTTGTTGGGTTCCTCCTCCAGATGGTTTCTTAAAGATCAATGTTGATGGAGCAATGGTGAAGGGCTGGACTAAAGGTGGTATAGGAGGTTTGATTAGGGACAGTAGTGGTGTGTTGATTCACTGGTTTTCTGAAAATGTTAGGGGTGGTCCTCCGATTTTAGCAGAACTTTTGGCGATAAAGGGGGGGGCTGAGCTTGCTTAATGATCCAGGTTTGGTTCTTAATCAAAGGATTATTTTAGAATCGGATTCAAGTGTCGCGATGAAGTGGATCAATAATCCGGAATTAAGCAACCCTATATTTCAATCCTTAGTGAAGGAGATCGTCTCTTTAAAGGAAGGGAAGGATATTTTGTTAAGACTTATCTTGAGGGCTGCCAACTGGGAAGCGGATAGATTAGCTAAAGATGGTATAGGTTGATTTTTGGCTTTGTTTGTGGGATGTTAGAGGGTGGATTCCCTTCGGTTCAGAAGGGATTTTGTTTTCCAATCTTATGTAATTAGTGTTAAGGTTTTTCAGCAGAAGGTGGTTTTTAAGTCTTATGTGTTGTGGGAAGGTATTAAGTTGTTGTTAGGGATGGCAGTGTATTATTCTTCAGATTAATAAAATTATAGGCACTTTTTTCCTCCTTCCAATGCCCTTCATGTTATTTTCGTAACAGGGAGGGTAAGAAGGGTTTTTTTAATGAGGCCTAATCTTCTATCAAAAAAAAAATTTAACATTTTAAAAGTATTTAAAAAGAATATTATTTTTAAATATGAAAATTGAATTACTTATTATAAAAGTATAATTGTTCTAAAAAAACTATTGTGAGTGGCTTTTTGCACCTTACTTCACTCAAGCAAGTGACTTTTTTCCACCTTGTGATGCATGCACCTTGGGAATTATAAGGGTTGTAAAGCCTGGACTATGCCTTGTCCCCATGACAACACAACATATTATACTGAGATCGGCCCTCTCTATCTTATAGCTAACTAGCTGTATTGGAAAGATTAACATAGTATCAAAGCCCATGTTATTTGTTGCCTTTTTTCACGTCTAGTTTATAGGCCCACTCATATCAATTATTTATCAGCCTACATATGAGGAGAGACATAAGCAAGGGTATACAAAATTTAGCCTAGAGTCTGTTGTGGTTACAGATTCATGTTGTACACTACTACCACCTATGAACAGTTAATTTTAGGTTGAATGGAGTAACATCATTCAATAAATCAAAGGATCGGCGAACTATTGTTTTCTAAACAAGTTCTTGAAGAATGTCTCTGAAAATTAATAGAAAGCTCTGAAAACCAGTATCCACTAACATTATGTACTACTACCATATTACCGCTTACTTCATGAGTGCATACACAACACAAAAATCACCCGATATATTTAAATATGAAGTTATGAACCAAAAATGCCTTCCCTAAAGAACCCAAATATAGATCCAAAATGATTTCTTTCATTTTTTCCAGAAAGTCCAGAAAAAACTTACTATAGCCAAACATGGTGCCTCTTTCACAAACCATCACATTCGGATTCCCGGCCAATCTAATCTTCTCAGCAGAATTTACCATAACCTACAACTATGCATAATTACAAATAACATCCATGTATAATTACAAAAAGACTAGAGTTTACTTAAACTTGAGAATTTGTACTCAAAACACGATTTGAAATTTTTGAAAATACAAAAAGCAGAACACTCACAGTAGGAGCACAGAACTGGCCTTTTTTTATATTGATAATTCTTCCAGTCTTGGCTGTTGCTACTAGAAGATCCGTCTGTCAAACAAACATTGATTAAATATTGTCAACCAAATACCAGTGTAAACAATAACTTTTTTCCCTTAAACATGGAAGGGTGCTGTTAACAATAAATATCAGCTTAACCTGACGACATAGAAATGCAGGAATCTGAATCACATCAGCAACTTTTCCAACTTCTTCACACTGAAAGGAACCAGGTATTTGATAGTTATGCAGGCAATATATTAAATGGAAAGAACAAAATAAATAATTGCTGCCCAGAAAAAGATGTGCAGGTGCATGGTATGCTTACTTCCAATTTGACGTGTCATATTTTGTTCATGCCTAGACTAACAACATGAAAAAGCATTTTCCGTAAACATTAAAAAGTGTTGTTAGTAATGGAATCCGATATGGAAATTTTGATTTCTCCAAACAATCACTTTAAACAGTATATGATTCATATAAGTGCTTGTTCGTTTAGTCTGAAATTATGATTTCCAACTAAGAGAGTACGTTAGTACATTGGCCACATCACTTCTCATCATCTGCACAAGCAATGCATGGTAATATAATTGGCACATCAGCTGAAGTATATACTATCCGGGAAACAGAGTATATTTTGAAATCATAATCCAAAGAAATCATACTTTCCATGCGTCCAAAATGAAGACATGGACATAGATTAAAAATAAATGATAAAGTTTGTATATAGATGGAAAGACCTCCAATGTTTCCTCATACCTGAATAGTTTCATGGACATCAGTTACAATTGGAATGTCGTATGCTACTTTAACTTTCTCAAGGATCTGTAACCCAAAAATAAATAGAGATTTTAACGTAAGTAAATGTATCTAAGATAAAGTTACACAAATTTTAGACTCACTCCATATATTGTACTTGCAGTTCCAGAATTCTAACACAGAATAGCAGGAAAGCCCAAACTCTACCATATGTAGAAATACATCCTATGTTCAACAATAAACTTAAAAACAAACCATGCAGATCATATAGATGGATGTAGCAGCAGTGCATAGAGTCACAGAAATAATACAAAGAAAGCAACCATCAATCATTCGATGTAAGGAAAGCAGCCATGTTATAGTAAGAAAGCAAAAAAAGAAAAGAAAAGAAAAGAACCTTCAAGCCTTCAGCCATTCCGGGACCCCGAAATGATTTGGAGGATGTTCGGTTAGCTTTATCAAAGCTTGATTTGAAAACCAAAGGCAACCCAAGTCTACAAAAATCCGAAAACCAACAGATCTAATTCAGGCATTTAAAAAAACGATCATAGCTTTGTATATTTCTGCTATAGCCAATCTCAAGCATTTTTGCACAAAGATTCAAAAAAATAAAAGGGAATGAAAAGAATAGAAATTCATGCTTGGTAGTGATAGTCTTGATGTGGCCAGCCATCCTTAGAATGTGGTCTTCAGATTCAATCACATTGGGACCCGCAAACAAGAAAAATGGCTCAGCAGCCTGAGATTCAACACTTATTCATATAATTATTCAATAGAAACAACTAGCTCAGATTATGAAAGAAAATGTGTACATAAAGCGGGAACCTTCACCTTGAGTTTGTTTAACAGCGATGCCGAAGAATCCATCCTTAAGTTCAGCAACTGCAGTTATCAGTCCCGTGTGTTATAAAAAAAATTGGAATTACTTTAGAAAAACTCCAGCACTGAATTAATAAACTGAGAAAGAGAACAATAAGAGATCTAACATATTGCAAAATAAGGGAAAATATGATAATTATTTCAGAAAAGGGCGAGCATTAAATTATGGAGGGGAAGAGAATTACCAGAAAAAAATGAACAGACAGAAAAGAAACTCTCAGGTGAATAAAAAATACTGAAATGGACGGCAAGTCACAAACTAAGAAGAAAGAAAACTCTTCTCCCCGGATAATAATAGTGAACTTTTCTAAATAAAACTACACAGATGATCATCAAACTATGACAACTTTTTTCTTTTGATCATCTAACTATAAAAAGTTACAAAATAATCATTACCTTTTTCGTTTCTTCGCTCCCCGTTAATTAATGTGGCAATTTTAACATTGGTATAATAACAAATATAATATTCAATTTTACACATTAATCATTTTCATCCTGATATTAAAAATTTGTTTGTCGGTGAACTACTCTGATCGGTATAATAACACTACCATTACAGTTATAAACAGAATTATAAGGTTGGAAATATCGTATATGAAAATAATTTATCTTAATCGGTAGACGATTCAGAAATATTTTTTTAGAAACGATCAAATCATCTAATCTTGATCGTTTTTCCGATGTGAACCTAGCTTATACTTGTTCGAGTGATTTTAAATTAAGATATCTTGAACATCTTTCCAAAATATAACATAGAGGTTATCTAAACATAGGTTTGATTCTCATCAAAAGTAAAATTTTCAAGTTTTTAATTTACAACAAATTAAAATGATGTCACGTGTCATCATCTGATTGGTTGAGATTGATATACTAAAATTTTATTTTTATATTATTCTTTTTTTAAAATTTTGTTGATATAATAATTTATCATGTCGTTATTTTAGTTCACATAAACATGTCTTCAAAAACAATAATAGGTATTAAAATGATTATTTTGTCAAATATTAAAGGTGTTTTTTTGTTATAATATGCCATTAGTATTTGTAGCCATTCATAATATTATGACAACACATATGACATACAAATCCTACATATACATTGGCTCGAACTCAGAATATCTAAAGGGAAGAATATTCCCTTTAACCACGAATGACACTCAATAGATTCGACACAATTTTAATTTTTCAATGACTAAAATATTATAAAGAAATACTATAAATGATCAAAATATTGTAAGCCATCAACCATTAAATTTTATTAAATTCAACGATTAAAAGTAAACACTTGTAAAATAAGAGTGATCATATGAGTAGTTTACCATTAAACAAAATAAATAATTTTTATATAATTATATAATTTTGAATTTATTAATCAATTAAACAAATTATAAAATATATTTTAAGGTGATTATTTTAATTAAATTTAGGTTATTCTCAATATCAAAATTAAAATTTAATAATTTTATTTAAGTACCAATAACCAGTTGGTCTAGTATGATGATGCATTAAGACCCCTAAGTAATGTCAGGGGTTTAAATCATGACGTTTGCAAATGGAGCAAATTGGGTTGGGAGGGTCGTCATCGCCTCTGCAATACTAGATCTGGATTAATCAGTCAATAGATAAGATACCAATTATTAATTTAAAAAAATTTATTTAAGTGACCTTGTGCCAAACTCTACACCAAAAGAACATGGTATTCTAACAAATTTGTTACTTTGATCGACAAATTTTATTTTTTGTTTGCACAAAGTAGAGAAGTGGAAACGAACATGTTATTCTTTTGTTTTTCAATGATACATTTCCTTTTGTGGCCGAGAGATAGAGAGACAAATTAAATAAAAGAATAAGAAGAGATAGGCGGGAAGTTTGGTAAAAGATAACTCCATATCTCTCTGCTGCTTGTGGCAATAATTTCGGTCTCCCAAATCGAATCCCGAACGCAATTCTCTCTTTTTGTTTTAATTCTTTGCTCTTCTGTATTAGATTGTTTTCTTAAAAGGGAAAACAAGTCATCTTTGAAGTCAAGTATTTGGAAAATTTGGGTCCATTGCCAAATGAGTAAAGAGATTGTAAAGGAAGAAGCGCCGTCGTTGACTTGTGTTGTCTCCGCGGAGAATCGTACCCTTGGTTCTCTGAGAAGCGTCCGATGGCGTCTTAATCTGGGTATTTTAGCTCCTTCTCCTTCACTTGATGATCTTCGCAGGGAAACTGCTGATTCTCGCCGAAGGTAATAATAAACTTCTGTTTTTAATGTCCAGTTCTGAAATTTTTTCATTAACTTGCAATTGATTGTTTTCCTTCTTTCTTCACGTCTTTAGGAACTAAAAACTAACTGTTATGGATTCAAATCTCTGTTTTTTTTTTCTATTGAAATCTAGATATGCTGGATTGAGGAGGCGGCTGCTACTGGATCCGCATGTTCCCAAGAATGGAGGAAGTAATTCCCCTGATCTTGTCATGGACAATCCACTCTCACAAAACCCAGGTAATTGCAATTAATGATGGAACCAGATATATATTTTTTAGTATGGGTCCATATATATTAGTATCACAATTTTTTGTATGGATGGTCGTAAATACAATTTTAGAATGAACATAGTTAATAAAATGAGTAAATAATCCGAATAAAATTCGGATTTCACTGTGGGAACGGGCCCACCCTATACATGCAGTGGATCCGCCACTGTGCCAATTGCATTGTTTGTTCATCTGATTTTGTTTTAATTAATACTGCTATATTTTCCTTGCTATCTTATCATGATTCATGTTTAACTTGTGTGAAGTCAAATCTCTTTGCCTCGTTTTTCACCCCATCCTGATTGATTGGTTTTGATGCCAAGACTTGTAACTCATCTTTGTCAATGGAAATTTAGTGGTCAAATATGTTTGGAGAATTCTTCTATGAGAAATTTAATATGGCTGCACCATATTTTAAGGCCCTTTCTTTTCTAAATCTTTTTTTTTTGAAACAATATCTAATTCTTCATGCAGACAGCACCTGGGGTCGATTCTTTCGGAATGTTGAACTGGAAAAAATGGTTGACCAGGATTTATCACGATTATATCCGGAACATGGAAGCTACTTCCAGGCTCTTGGATGCCAGGGAATGTTGAGACGAATATTGTTGCTGTGGTGCCTTAGGCATCCAGAGTTTGGTTATCGGCAAGGTTTTTTTCTTCTTAATCACTATGCATGCTTATCTATTACTTTCCATTCTATCACTATATTGATTTTGGAAAACCAAATCAGCAATGTTTTGCAACCCTAATTATTTAATGTTTTCAAGATTTTCAATCACTGCATTAGGTGAAAGCTAGTTGGACTTTATAATATGTAAACTTCATTCTGTATACGCAATTAAAAAGCCATTGCAAATTGGCTCACAATATCTCAAGTCAGCTAACTCGTAATTCTTGCTATATTATTGTGCGAGGCATCGAGCTGACACTTTTTCTGATTCTCTTTCCTGCTTATTTGTAGGAATGCATGAACTCCAGGAACCTTTGCTGTATGTTCTTCATGTTGATGTTAAAGAGTCTTTAAGAAGTAAGAAAGATACATAAAGACCATTTCATTGACAAATTTGATGGATTGTCATTTGAAGAAATTGATTTCACATACAATTTTGATTTTAAGAAGTTTTTAGATTCCATGGAAGATGAGGTTGGATCTCAAGGTAATTCAAAGAAAGTTAGGAGTGTTGATGAGCTTGATCCCGAGCTACAGACCATCATATTGCTAACTGATGCTTATGGAGCTGAAGGTGAACTTGGTATTGTCTTGTCAGAGAAATTTATGGAACATGATGCCTACTGTATGTTTGAGGCTCTTATGAGCGGTGCACGTGGAGCAGTTGCTATGGTAGATTTTTTTGCTCCCTTTCCTGCTTTGGAGTCTCATAGTGGCTTGCCTCCTGCCATTGAAGCTTGAGCTGCATTATACCATTTACTGTCCATAGTTGATTCTTCTCTGCATAGTCATCTTGTTGAGCTTGGTGTTAACCCCAGTATTTTGCACTTCGCTGGTTGCGGGTTTTATTTGGACGGGAGTTTTCACTTCATGATCTCTTACTTGTATGGGATGAGATCTTAACAGCAGATAATTGTTGCCATGGCAGTCTCTATGATGCTTTTTGTGAGGTCTTCCCTGCTTGCCACGGAAAATGCGACAACTTGTCTTCAGAGACTATTGAGTTTTCCTGAGAATATAAATCTGAAAAAACTTGTAGCGAAGGCGAAATCACTGCAAATTCTTGCACTGGATTTTAAAATCTCATCCTCATTATCTACATGTGATGTGGCTTATAACCGTAGCAAATCTGCAGTGAGTGATCGCAATCTTTCATCTGGTTCAGTTTCTCCAAAAACTCCTCTATCTCTGGTGCCCGACAGCTACTGGGAAGGAAAGTGGAGAGTACTGCATAAGGCAGAGGAGCTAAGGCAAGATAGTTTAGATAAACATGCTCCCAGCGGGAAAAGGAGATGGTCTGAAAAAGTAAAGCCAGTGCTATCTAGAACTGAATCTGATCCATCACCAGCAAGAGCAGAAAAATACAAAAAGGGTCATAGGTCATCTGTTAGGTGTAGTTTGCTTGAAGATTTGTCTCAGCAACTTGGCTTGGAGGAAGATACCGAAACGGGAGACAGATTAGATTCTTCCAATTTAGACGATCGTCATTTTATAGAAGTTCAGGTGGAGACGCAAAATGATTCTAGTGTAGACTCTATTTGCACAGCTGAAGAAAGATGTGAGAGTGGAAGTGGAGCTTCTGTCAGTGAGAAAACTCCTCTATTTTTTCTGACCCTGCAAGTTCTTGTAGTAGCACTAATGACCATGAAAACGACACAGAAAAAAGTAGTGTCGTGTCTACGTTTCCTCTCCTCCTGATGATGTCCTTTTAAATTATCCACACGAGAATGAATCTTCAGGGAAGATGATCCCAACCTCAAAGGAAAGAAGGCATCTCTCAAGTAGATTTCAATGGCTTTTGAAGTTTTGATGGAACAATGTGAGTCAGGAGGCATCTGATAAGGGAGTTATCAATGAGACCGCAAAATTTGCAAACCGTGATAGCAAGAGCAATACAAGAGCAATACAGCAGACTCATCTACTGCCAGTGCTTT